CACTGTTGCCGACCCCCCCCAGCAACACGGCAACAGAGCAACACACCCCGACAAACAAAAAAAAAAGAGATTCAACCCTTACGGTCGTCGCAGTGTTCCCAACAGGTACATCCAAAGACGTTCCGTGGAGCCGAGCTTCCGCAGCGATCTTCGCTTATACCTGTTCGGAATACTGCGACAACCGTAAGGATGATTTTCTCGAAGTAGGAGTCCCCGTAACAGTCCTCCTAGTAGTCCTCGTAGGAGTCCTACTAGTCCTACTAGGAATCCTCATAGGAATCCTAGTAGTCCTACTAAGAATCCTCGTAGGAGTCCTACTAGTCCTACTAGGAATCCTCGTAGGAATCCTACTAGTCCGACTAGGAATCCTCATAGGAGTCCTACTAGTCCTACTAAGAATCCTCGTAGGAGTCCTAGTAGTCCTACTAGGAATCCTCATAGGAATCCTGATAGTCCTACTAAGAATCCTCGTAGGAGTCCTAGTAGTCCTACTAAGAATCCTCATAGGAGTCCTAGTAGTCCTACTAAGAATCCTCGTAGGGGTCCTAGTAGTCCTACTAAGAATCCTCATAGGAGTCCTAGTAGTCCTACTAAGAATCCTCGTAGGAGTCCTAGTAGTCCTACTAAGAATCCTCATAGGAGTCCTAGTAGTCCTACTAAGAATCCTCGTAGGAGTCCTAGTAGTCCTACTAAGAATCCTCGTAGGAGTCCTAGTAGTCCTACTAGGAATCCTCGTAGGAGTCCTAGTAGTGCTACTAGGAGTCCTCGTAGGAGTCCTAGTAGTCCTACTAGGAATCCTCGTAGGAGTCGTAGGAGTCCTAGTAGTCCTACTAGGAATCCTCGTAGGAGTCCTAGTAGTCCTACTAGTAACCCTCGTAGGAGTCCTAGTAGTCCTACTAAGAGTCCTCGTAGGAGTCCTAGTAGTCCTACTAAGAATCCTCGTAGGACTCCCAGTAGTCCAACTAGGAATCCTCGTAGGAATCCTTGTAGGAGTCCTCGTAGGAGTCCTACCAAGAGACCTCCGAACTGCCTCAAACACGCCGCCGACAGACATCCCACGATATCCCAACGGTCATCATCATCACCACCATCATCATCATCGTCATCGTCGTCGTCATCGTCATCACCATCACCATTCGCATCACCATCATCAGCATCTTCCTCATCATCGTCATCCTCGACATCATCATCCACGTCATCGTCATCGTCATCATCGTCCTTACCACCATCACCATCATCATCATCACCATCACCATCACCATCATCGTCATCATCATCATCCTCACCATCCTCACCATCTTCCTCACCATCCTCATCATCATCACCATCCTCATCATCCTCAGCGGGGCAGGCCGCAGGCAGCTGGATAAACCTCTACTCACCCTCCTCCTCCTCCTCCTCCTCCTCCTCCTCCTCCTCCTCCTCCTCCTCCTACTCTCGTCCCTCCTCCTCCTCCTCATCGTCATCATCATCCGCATTTTTGTCCACATCATCATCATCATCATCATCGTCACCATCATCGTCAACATCATCGTCATCATCATCCACACCCACGTCATCCTCCTCATCATCATCCATATCATGATCATCGTCCTCATCTTCATCATCATCGTCGCCATCGGCATCATCATCACCATCCTCGTCCACCTCATCACCATCATCGTCATCATCATCATCACCAGCCACATCCACGTCGTCATCATCATCATCGTCATCATCACCACCGTCATCATCATCATCATCAGCGTCATCGTCGTCGTCATCGTCATCGTCATCATCACCACCACCACTATCATCATTATAGGCATCGTCATCGTCATCGTCATCACCCTCATCATCATCACCATCGGCATCGCCATCGTCATCGTCATCGTCGTCATTATCAGCATCACCACCACCACCATCATCATCATCATCATCATCATCGTCATCGTCATCGCTATCGTCATCGTCGTCATCATCATCGTCATCATCATCATCATCATCATCATCATCATCATCCTGATCATCATCATCATCATCATCATCATCATCATCATCATCATCATCATCATCATCATCATCATCATCATCATCATCATCATCATTATCATGTCGCGCACCCCTCGCGAGTACGGCCTCCTTTGCCCCCTCGAACGAGCGGTGCCCAGCATCATGGCCTGGCACGGTGGCGGGACTTGCCGCAGGCAGCTGGTATTAACAAGCGCCCCCTCCCGCAAGCTCCTTATTAATAAGCACCCCCATCCCAGGCGACCAGCGAAGAGGGGGGGCGCGAATCGACAATCCGAGCCTTCCGCCCGAAGAGGCCCCCAGGAGGCACCAAGAGGCCTGCAAGAAGCCCCAAGAGGCCCCCAGGAGACCCCTAAAGAGGCCCCTAGACGGCTACCAAGAGACCTCCAGACTGCCTCAAACACGCCGCCGACAGACATCCCACGATATCCCAACGGTCATCATCATCATCACCACCATCATCATCATCGTCATCGTCGTCGTCATCGTCATCGTCATCATCATCACCATTCGCATCATCATCATCATCATCATCATCATCATCATCATCATCATCATCATCATCATCATCATCACATCTTCCTCATCATCGTCATCATCGTCGTCGTCATCATCCTCGCCATCATCACCATCATCAGCATCTTCCTCATCATCGTCATCCTCGACATCATCATCATCGTCATCGTCATCGTCATCATCGTCCTCACCACCATCACCATCATCATCATCACCATCACCATCATCATCATCATCATCATCATCATCATCATCATCATCATCATCATCATCATCATCATCATCATCATCATGGTTATCGTCGTCGGCGGCCTCGTCCTCATCCTCCTCCGCCACGCGTCCCGCCAATGTCCCTCTACCTCCCTGCCCCTCCCACCGGGCGGGCACGCCAGGCGGCGCGCGGGGGTGGAGCGACGACACTGATGACGACGACGACGACGACGACGGCAGCGACGACGACGACGGCCATCCTCGCCCCAAGCCTCAGCCACCCTGTCCTCGTCCTCCACATCATCGTCCTCCGCATCGTCGTCTTCGTCATCCTCGTCCTCCTCAACCGCATCGTCATCCTCCTCCTCGTCATCATCATCAGCATCCTCGTCCACCTCATCTTCATCATCATCGTCATCATCATCAGCCACATCCACGTCAACCTCCTCCTCCTCCTCATCATCACCATCATCGTCATCATCACCATCATCAGCATCATCCTCATCATCGCCATCATCATCATCAGCATCCTCGTCCTTATCCTCTTCCTCCTTCTTCTCCTCCTCCTCCTCCTCCTCCTCCTCTTCCTCCTTCTCCTCCCCGCACTCCTCTCCCTCTTGTGGTCGTCCTCCCCATGATCCTTTCCCTCCTCGTCCTCCTCCTCCTCCTCTTCCTCCTCCGCCCCGCGTCCCGCCAACGCCCCCCTATCTCCCTGCCTCTCCCACCGGGCGGGCACGCCAGGCGGCGCGCGGGGGCGGGGCGACGACACCGATGACGACGACGACGACGACGCAGACGACGACGACGACGAAGGCGGCGGTGACGGCGACGACGACGACGAACGACGAGCACGCACGGCCATAACGACGACCACGCACGGCCATGACCACGTCGACGACGACGACGACGACCAGGACGACCACCACGACGACGACAACAGGGACAGCAGCAGCCAAGTCTGGGGACAGCAGCAGCCAAGTCTGGGCACAGAGAAGAAGGCAAACGTTCCCCAGGAGGCCCCAGAGGCTTTCCAGGAGGCCCAAGACGCTCTCCGGGAGGCCCAAGAGGCTCCTCAGGAGGCCCCAGAGGCGCTCCAGGACGCCTCAGAGGCGTTCCAGGAGGCCCAAGACGCGCTCCAGGAGGCCCAAAACGCTCGCCAGGAAGCCCAAGACGCTTTCCAGGAGGCCCCAGAGGCTCCCCAGCAGGCCTCAGAGGCGCTCCAGGGGGCGCCAGAGGCGTTCCAGGAAACCCAAAACGCTTTCCAGGAGGCCCCAGTCGCTCCAGGAGGCCCAAGACGCGCTCCAGGAGGCCACAGAGGCGCTCCAGGAGGCCCAAGACGCGCTCAAGGAGACCCAAGACGCTCTCCATGAAGCCCGAGACACTCGCCAGGAGGTCCCACCGGCCCCCCAGGAGGCCCTAGAGGCGCTCCAGGAGGCGGTAGAGGCCCTCCAGCAAGCCCAAAACGCGCTCGAGGTTCTCCTGTGTTGCTCTGTTGCTGTTGCTGGGGGGGGTCGGCCGGGCGCCAGTGAGTGTTTTCGTCAACAACAACAACAACAACAACAACAACAACAACCACAACAACAACAACAACAACAACAACAACAACAACAACAACAATAATCATTTAAGACTGGGGACACTCCGTTCTCACCAGTGCCAGGGTTTTCATAGGAGGCGGGCAATACCCCCACTTTGTGGGGGGGCCGGTTCAAGCTCTACCAAATTTCCAAACGACTCTTCGCCACCACCCACACCCAGCTTCCCGCCCTATGACGTTCGGACACTTCACTTCGTGGCATGCGGACGACCGTGGCTACTATTCAGGGCCCCGCGGCCGACGACGACGGCGTGCGCGCGCGAAGAAAAAACGAATGTGTCCAATATGGTATTATTTGACAGGGATGATGGCCCTGGCATGCGCGCAACCGTTGTTGCAGAAGTTCGAAGCACGTGAAAAAGTTGCTCGCAAGAGCCCGTTTGACAGAAATGTTGAAAAAATATTGGGTTTCCTCAGAAATCCGCAAGAGCGCGCAAGATGATTTTTGAAACTTTGTTTTGAAAAACCATTGGGTTTTTCATGTTTGTATGTTAAAATCGCTACGAAAACTAAGGTTTTGGAAGGATTTCATCTTGCGCGCGCGAGTGTGCACTTCGTGTCATTTTTTGCAAAGGATTCTTGAAGTTTGGTTATGTTAGAACAAGACATGTCATTTTATAGTGTTTTTTGACAGGGAAAGCGGGCGTCAACAAAACAACCGGATCTGGATGACATCGTTTTACCTGAGACTTCCTCACGAAAATTATGAAAATGTGGCTGCGGCCTAGGCGCGGGGGGGGGGGCGTGCACCAGGGGGCCCAACAATAATTATTCTTTAGAATTAATAATGTTCAACAACAACAACAACTTAAAGAAATTAGCTATTCTTGGCGCCAGAGGTTCTTCGACGGGTCCCTCTGGAGCCGTCTTGGGGCGCGCTCGGGGCCCTTTGGGGCCGTCGGGAGGCGCCATCTTGCGCCGCTAAGGCGTTATCGGAATTCTACGGGGCAGTTTGGGAGCCCTCTTGGGCGGTGTAGTGCCTCCCTTGGAACGTCTTAAACTTCTCCTGGGCAGTCTTGGAGCATCTTGGGCGCCCAAGAGGCGCCCTTCCAGCACGCGCGGGGACCTGCAATGTGAAGATGACATCGGGCTCCATCTTCAGCTCCCACATCTCGCTGAACAGCGCCAGAGCCCGCTGCCACTGCTCGCCCTTCTCGCACGCGCTGATCCCAGCACTGTAGCTGACTACGGCTGACTCGTGGACTCCGTCCACGTCAACCAGTATGTTCAGGGTGCGCATGGCCTGCGGCATCACCTGCAGGGGCGGCCCCCAGTGCAGACACGACGACTACGACGACGACGACGACGACGACGACGACGACGGCGGCGGCAACGAGGACGACGATGACGGCGGCGGCGACGACGACGACGACGACGGCGGCGGTGGCGACGGCGACGACGACGGAGTAATCCGCTGGGAGTTTTTCCGCGCGGCCCCCGTGGAGGTTTAAAAAACGTACGTGTTCCTACCAACTCTGCTCTCAAAGCGTGGCATCAGCACATCGCTGGCCAATGCGTTCGGCAAGCGTGTCTTTGTTACTATTACTCTTCTTAATATCATCATTACTATGATTCATATATATACTATCATTCATACTAATATTACGCGGATGATTATTATTAATCGTATTGGTTTCATTTTTATGCGGATGATTCTTATCATTTGTATTATTAATTTTATTATTATTGTACATATGTATATGGGGGGCGCAATTGGAAAGCCTCTGAGAGTCGGCAAGTTCCCAGTGGTCTCGGAGCCTGGCTTCAGCTTTCAATCGCCAAACAGAAACACCCAAGAACCGCCGAACTTCGATCGCGGACGGCGGCGGCTGCGGCTGCGGCGACGAATAAGGCGGCGACGACGGCCGCTGGCCGCAAACAAACCGAGACACCGACGACGACGATTTGTTCATCCGTCGTTTGTGCTCCTTTTCCTTATGTTCCCTTTTCCTTCCTGTTTCTCTCACCCCCTCTTGCTCCTCCTGCTTTTCCTGCTCCTACTGCTCCTCCCCCTCACCCTCCTCCTCTTCTTCTCCTCCTCCTCCTCCCCCGCCTCCTCCTCCCCGTTCCCCCCCTCCCCTTCTCATCTCATCCTGACTATCCTTCTCTGTTCCATCCTCCTCGTCCTCGTTGGCTGCGCTCCTGTCCTTCCCATCTCCGTCCGGCGGGGAGCGGGACCAAAAATTACGGCCGATGTCGCCACCGCTTCCCCTTCGCTGTTTCTGCCCGCGTCGCTCTCTTTAGCCGTCCAATTGGGCCGGCATCCTGCTACGGTGCAGGTCTTGAATAAGGACACCTTGGATCAGGAACCCAGGGTCTTGCGGCCGATGAGCGGGTTGTCCTGGGCCACCCACCGCGCCTCGACAACGGAAGGAATGCGCTCTAGCGTCCGGCCCTCGAGAGGGCTTGCCTTGTCAAGTGTCCCCACCGCGCCGTGCGCTTCGTTCACCGTCGCTGGATTTCAGAGGTGCCCTTCTGGACGGGGATGGAGCCGCGTTGGGGGCGCCTGGGCCCGTCGTGGAGCGCCTGAAACTAACTCTCTGCGCGGACGCTCATGGAGGACAGAGAACGCCGAAGACGGCCATGAGTGAAGAATTTGCGACAGACAGTCTCCGAAATGCGCGTCGGTGCTCGGCGCGAGTAGGTGGCTGCCCTTGAGCGCAGAACGCTGGCACGTGGGCAAGCGACAGATGCAGACCCCCCCCCCTGGCTGAGCGCGCGATGGGGCCAGCCCCTCGCTCACACACGGATGTCGAGCGCATGGGGCCGCGGAGCGCGCCGGCTCGGCACCGCGGTCGAGAAAAAAACAAAAAAAAAAAAAAAAAAAAAAAAAAAAAAAAAAAAAAAAAAAAAAAAAAAAAAAAAAAAAACGCGGCCGAAGGAGGCACTTCGCAGGAGGCAGGGACCAAAGCGAGGCGCACGGGTGGCTGTGGGAGCGACAGGCGAGGGAGAAGCGAGGGCTCGTTCAGAAATGCAGCAGCCGCCGCCGCCGCCGCCGCCGCACGCGCACCAGTGCGCCCCACACCTTGTGCATGAAAATGTGCGGCTTGCTCCGCGATTCGTCGAAGAGCTCGGCCAACGGCCCCGACTCCGGGATTGCGTCCTCCGCCGGATGGCGCGCATGTCGGGCTCGGCAATGACCAGGCACGGCACGTGGACCTTATCAAACCTGCAGCGGCACTTGAACGCGCGGCCATCGGAAGCGAATATCGCGTTGCGGGGGGGAGTCACCTGACCTGTCACCGAACAGATTCGGGAAGATCCTGACGGGGCGGAGTTGCAGTGGAGCCTGGGGAAATCCGAGGTCGGCTCGTCCACAGCGGCTCGATCTTTGCGCGCCAGAAGTCTCGTGGTCTGCGAGGTCGAGGTTTTCGACCGGAGAGATCTGGATTTTCATGGCGTGCACGGGCGGCCACAGCGCGCGGCCAGGTAGATCAGCTGTCGCGCAGAAGCGGGCGAACTGATCCCAAAGGTGGAGGAAGTTGCCGACTGCTGCGGCATCCTCGGCCACCCACCACGTGATCGCCCGATCTTGGACGGGGGGAACACCGTCATCTGAGGTCTGGCTGGCGGCCTTGCTGATGACTAGTGAAATGTCCACCTCACTCCTCATAATGGAAAAAATGTTTGGGCATGTTGGGGTCGCTGGCGTGCTTGTTCTGCCAACATCCGTTGAATGCAGCCACGATCCCGCTGTCGATGGAAGGGCTGGCCTTGCGCAGGACGCGAATGCCGTAGAGGGCCTCGTCGGCGGGGCTGGTCTCGATGACGTCGGCTGCTGAAGTTGTACATTGCCAGATGCACATCAGGACGGCGGCGTTTGGCGGCTCGGCCGCGGGGGCCAGTGGCGGCGCAACCGCCGAAGCCGCTTCGCTCAGAGCAGCCAAGCCCAAAAGGCCCTGCGACGACGGGCCGGGCCCTGCGCACCGAGGCCGGCGGCCAGAACAGCCGTCCGCAGCTTCTTGCACGGCGAAGAGGTCGACATGGCAAAGTGCGGTGGCAGGACAGGTGCTTGCTGCTGAAATCACGAGGTGGGCAGGCTAGCGGCTAGCAAAGGCGTGGCACGGCGGATATGGCCATGCGATGGTGCGATGAACGAGATGGAAGGCCCCCAAATGGCCGAGGTCGGGTTCGCCTGGAAACCAGAGGAAGTCATCATTCTGACGTGTCTCCGCGTCGCTTCCGACGGGCCTCCAAAGGCGCAATATGGCTTCAAGATGGCCCAGAGGAGTACAAGACCCTGGCAGGAGGACCAGAAGAGGTTCAAAGAAGCCGTGCGAAGGGCAGAAAGGGGCGCCCGAACGGCCGAAAAGAAGTCCCCAGGAGGGCTCCCAAAGATGCTCCCAGGAGGAGGTTGCACAAGGACCTCTGGGAGAATCCTGGAGGGGCGCACTGGCACTCGCGAGGCCATGCCGGAAGTCCTCGGGGCGCGCAAGAAGCCCCAAGATGCTCCGCGCAGCCGGGGGGCGGACCAGAAATAAGCTCAAAGAGGCCTTGCGACCCGCAGAGAAGGGGCGCCCGAGCGGCCGCAAAAAGGCCCCGCAGGAGGGCTTCCGAAGATGCTCCCGGGAGGGGGTGGCACGCGGATCTCCGGGGGCATCGCGGGGGGGCGCTCTGGAAGCGCGCCCAGCAGTCGCCAGGGGGCGAGGCCACCCTCGAAGTTCTCGGGGCGCGCAAGAGGCCCCAAGATGCTCCACGCAGCCAGGAGGCGGGCCAAAGGAGGCTCCAAGAAGCCCCCGCGAGGGGCGCAGACAGGGGCGCCCGAGCGGCCGAGAGAAGTGCCCTGGGCCGCGCAGGCCCAAACAGGGCCTGCCAAAAAGCTCCCCGAGAAATGCTTTGTGCAGGAGGCGCGATCGGCGCTCGAGAACGCGTTCGGAAGCGTCGAGAGGCTCTCAGGGAGGCCCCAAGCGGCCCGAAGCCGCTCCGAGGAGTCGCCAGAGGAGGCCCGAAGAGGCATTCACGGTAGGGAAAAGAGGCGCCCAAAGGGCCCCACAGGGATCCCAGGGAAGCCTTTCAAGGGCTGCTCCCGGGAGGGGGTCCAGGAATGACCTCAGGGAGCATCCTGGGAGGCGGGGGCACTCTCGGAGTTTGCCATCCAGTCGCCTGGACTTTCGCGAAAGCCTGCCGCGCGTTCTGAGCGTCTCCTGCGGCCTGGGAGGCGCCCGGGAGGGTCCGAGGAGGGCGCGCCAACGATCCTGTAAGAGGGCGCTGCGGGAAACGTACCTGGTGGCGTAGCGGATCGCTCCGCGCCCTCCTCCTGTGCACCGCACGGGTGCGATTGAACGAAACACGCAGCGGTAGAGAATCGACAACATGGTAGAAGGAGGCAGGCGGAGCAAGAGACAGCCGACGGGAAGGGGAACTCATAGAGGTAGAATTGCGTTATGTTCCGTGGGAGCGCGGGGGAAGAAGCGACGAAGACAAAACGCCTGGATGCTCTGAGTTGTACTGTCCCGGGCACCTCTTGGACTGCACCACGAACCCTCCCAGGGCCCGCACGCGCAGATTGCTCGATCCGCGTCGAAGCTCGGCGAAGAGGGACGGTGCAGGCAGGGAAGAGGCGCGAAGTGACGGAGCAGAGGGAGAGTCGCAACTGAGCAGGCCTGGCCGTGGCCCATGCCCAGCTCGCAGGGGTCCTGGAGCTGACTGTCGCGGGCTCGCTCTGCAGCCGGCGGCGCCGTGGTCCTGCATCGCATCCGGCCGTCGCCGCGGTCCTGCAGTAGGCGGCTGTTGGCTGGCGCCGCGGGGGCTTCCTGGCGCCCTCTTGCGCCGTCTGGAGCGCCTCGTGGGCCGTCTTTGGGCCTATGTGTGGCCGTCTTGTGCCGCCTGGAATGAAGGGGCCCTGGGACACACAAATAAATACACAAAAAAAACAAACAATATTTTCCCATATTCTCCGGGGTTCTGTCTTCCCCCCACTTCCCATATTTTCCCATATTTTCTGGGGAATCGACGAATAATTGTGTCTGTGTGTTTTTCCCCTCCTGATGGAGCGCCTCTTGGGCCGTCTTCGGGCGGCTGGGGCCCTCTTCAGCCGGTCTGGGGCAGTCTTTGCCCGTCTTTGATCCACTCTGGGAGCCCTTCCTGGATCCTCCTCTTGGGGCCTCTTGGGGGTTTCTGGAAATGTCTTGGGGCGAGCTGTGGGTCCGTGTTGGACGCTGCGATGAGGGTGAGGGCGAGCATGC